TTGATTGGTATAAAAAATATACCAATCAATACGTCAAAAAAATTTTATATACATTAATTTATATTTTTTATAAAAATTCAATTTATTTCTAATAATATATTTAACCAAGTGCTTAAATTTATTTTTAATGTTATATATTTAATTGTATATGAGCAAATAATCTATTTGATTTAAATATTTTCAATATTAATAATTTTTATAGTAAAATATATTATAAAATATATATTTTGTAATATTTATCAAATAAAAACAAAATAAGGTAAAATAATGTTAAAATTTGCGTCGCTTTCACTATAAAAATACAAAAGAAGTCTTAATATTGGAAACACTTATTGAAAATTAGGAACATCCGACCATTCGTCGTCTTTTCCATTATTTTCTCATAACATTAAAAAAGACAACTTAATATTATTTGTCAATATTGATAATTCTTCAGAAAACGATATTATTCCATTGTTGTGTTAAGTTTTAATTATAAGAACACATCTTTTAAACTTCTTATATTCATTGTGTCAAATATAATTATTGTCATTAAGAATGTTATTTCACTTGAGTTGATATTCATACAAAAAATATAAAATGATGAAATTAAATAAATTCAGTATTCCATTGAAAATATCAATTAAACATAACAAATAATAAAAAATAGAGAAATTGTTTTTAGAGTTGTATAACTTCTTTTAAAAAATTAGATGTAATTGTCAAAAAATAAGTTTCAGCTCGACATATTGTAAAAAACAACATATAAAAACTATACGTAAATTATAAATTCCTTTAAATACTGTTTCTTACCATTAATTCAAAGGTGTCTAACACCATTGGGAATGAATAAGACAACTCTCATGCGATTATTCTCAATCAAAACTCTAAGTGTCGATTGATCAATTCGCCTTATTAAATATATTTTAAAAGATTCATTATATACTTTAAAGAACCCTTGAAAAAAATTTATTTAATATTATTTTAGTTTATTCATTATTATATATAGTTTCATTTTATCACTCACGTGTCAAATGTTTAAATTAATTTTAATAGTTTGATTTACTTAGAAAAAATAACTAAAATTTTATTATAATAAAATAGTATTTGAATTTATTAATTTAATATATTCAAAAATAATATATCAATAGTATATTATACTATATTGTAATTAATAAAGTATAGTTTAAAGTGTTATTAGACTTTTAATAAATATAAACTAAAGAAAAAAACAATTAATATCTTGCTGTTACAATGTCGACTCTTTGAGTGACCGATTCCAATTTACACCGCTGTTTTTCAACGAGTTTTCTCGTCTCTTCAGTTTCTCTTCTGCTAGCCTCTATCAATAAAAGAGCCTCTTTATTTTGTTGAGTAATTTTTTCAAGCATATCAGCCGTATTGAGATTCAGCATCCTCATTCTTTTGAAGTTGGCCATCTCTTTTGGGTCTTTAAATACAAAGGAAAAATCGTCCTTCAAATTTTCGTATTTACACTGTCCATCAACCCCGGCACAAAACATGAAGATGTCAGTGATCCCACTTTTTCCTATTTCAAATTCCCTCGAGTTTTGTTCGAATTCGACTCTGAGTGGGGAGTCGACTGGTTTGCTTCCCTCTGGAATGTTAATTTTGAAGAACTTGAGATAGATGTCATTTACAATGAGTTGTAACAGTGTCGAGAATATAACAACTTCATTCTTCTCCAAAGAGTCTAGTTCTATTTTTAGATGGAGGGGATGACTTAAAATAGACAATTTGATGATCTGGCCTATGTTAATTTCCTTACTAAAAACCCTTTTCTTCTTTTCGGATGATGTCAGAGAATCTCCAGAAGTCTCTTTGATACTAACAGTGTCTTCGCTAATCACCATGAGACCACTTTTATACTCTCCTTTGTCACATATTAAAATATGAATAGAAACAGGTTTTGGTTCAAAGACCATAACATCCAGTTGAATTTCTTCTGGTTTCTTCACTGGTTTCACCTCAATCTTCTTACTCTTTCTGTACCTTTGAACTAACTCGTGGCCCATAGAAACAACTGATTTTAAATTGTCTTCGATATCCTCAAAATAGATTTCAGTCTCATTTAAAAGACAGTCGATACCATACAACATATCTCGTTGTTTCTTTAATTGATGAATAGTATCTGTTTTGATCTCGTTAGTTCTATTCGCATATTCATTTGCTTGCTCTGCACTTTTCAAATCAAGTTGTGTTCTAGGTTCAAGAGAATCCTTCATTGTATAATCTTCGATTGTATATTGAGATAATTTCTCCTCTAACTTAAGAAATGGATATTTGACCAAGTAATTCATCAATAAATAAATACTTTCATTCCTCTTCTTGATATTTAATGTGATCACTTTGGTATTAGTCTCCACACGTATATACTTATTTAACTCTATTTTTGTTATCTCTCCTGTATATATCACTTCCTTTTGGTACTTTTTCGAATTTAACATCTCCATACAAAATGTAAATGCACTAATAAATAGTCGTCCTTTAAATTTCTCTTTATCTATAAAGAACTGCGCATTACAAACTTCAATGACATCTTCGTTCTTTGATGATTTAAAAAGAATTCGTGCTTCTGCAGAGTTACTCATGTGTGTGAGTGTGTCTGTCTTCTGCATCGTTTATGTGTTTTTCAAAACATACCTTTTTATTAGACAACACAATTTGGTTGAAGTTATTTTGTACCAGAATTACTGGGTCTTATATAATTCGATGATTTAATAAATATATTTATTTTAATTCATAATTATAATTTATAAAATAATTTGAAAATAGTTTATTCTTTTAATTTGTAAATTTTTTTTACAAAATACATTTTTTTTTATTATTAAAAAAACTGGAAATGGTCATTCTTTTTTATTATTTGCCAATATTTTATAATATATATATAGTATTTTAATTTAGTAAAATTGAAATCCAAAACAACAATAATATCAATTACTATTAATAAATTAACAATATTATATTAATTTTTTTATGTATAAGAAATGTAAATTCTTGCATAAATGTCATTTCTGAAATAAAATAAGGAAAAAAAACAATTTAAAAATGAAAACAAAAAAACACAAACCAACTTCGAAGACATAAAAGAGATTTGGGTTGTCTTTGTTCTGAAACAATACCAGAATGATGCTATTCAATGCAAAAATAATATTGTTATTATTATTATTTATAATAAAAATTAAACAGATGATTGTTAACTAAAATTTAAATTTAACATAACCAAACACAAGTTGTACTAAAACTCAACACATTTTGTTCAATAAAAAAAAGGGATGTACTATTTCTTTTATCTTTTTATTTATAATTTATATAATTATAAATAAAATTTATTTAATTAACAATAATTATTAGTTAAGTTATTGTTTTTGTAATATAAAATAATTTTAAGTTATTTTAACAATTATAACTATAAAAATTAATTGTTTAAAATATATATTTTAAACTATATAGTTTTACTTCAAAATTAAAAAAAAATTGTACAAATTTAATAATTTTAATTTTATTATTCGATAATAAACTAATAAAAATTACAATTAATTTATATTATTTTTTTTACAGTTGTTAAATCGTTAACAATAGTATTTATACTATTATATAATTGTAATTTATTGTTTGTTTTTCTAAAAATAGAAAAAGGTCATTACAAACAAATAATATTGAGTCAGTCTTTAAACATTATCTAATAGACAAAAAATAGCTTTAATTTTGTTAAAAAAAATCGGGCATTAGGTAAATTGTGAAAAAACCTAAAACAATTAAAATGGATTTTTGGAACGGTTTCCCGTAATATTCCAATCTTTATGGTCCAAAAGGTACCAGATAAAGTTTGAGATTATATAACGTTTTAAGACTGACTGTAGTTATACAAAACTTTTTTGAAGACAAAAAGTTGTGTGACTTTTGAATAACTTCCTTCCAAAAAATTCTCAACACAAAAGCAAAAAATCAACGCAGTGTTCCAATAATTTCTATACGAAAGTTTAAAATAAAAAATTACACAAAATCAAAACCCTAAACAATTAATAAATAAATTAATGCTATGAATTAATTTCTAAGGACTGGAGTCCACGGTGTAGTTAACAATAGAACAATAACAGCTGCTGTCCATAAGATAAACACTGTCTCTAATATAGTCATCATGACCGACATGACGATCATTTGTCTCTTTTTCTTCTTCAAAAGTTCTGTCTTAGGAGATCTGAGGAGGATGAAAGCACCAAAGAAGAGAAAAGGAGGGAACAGCAGAGAGATAACCATATAATTTCGAATTCTTCTTAACATCTTTTCTTCCTCTTTTTTGAGGTGTTCCTTCTCAGGGTCTTCTTCTTCTTTCTTCTCTTTCACTTCCTCAATTTTCACTTGAACCTCTCCAACAGGTTTTGCTTCAGCCTTTTCAGGCTCGGTGGGGACTTCGATATGGTTGTTTCCTTCTTGACCCCTTGGTTGTGGAAGATCAGTATTTTCGGTGGTAATTACATTTTCTTTTGTGGACAAATTTTCGTTGTTTTCTACCTTTTCTTCCATCTCAATGCCAACTTCGGATTTTTTGTTGGCATCTTCAAGAGAAGATTCTTCGACATTTGAAGAGTTGTTTTGTGATGAATTACTGGTTGGCTCCGGATTCTGAATTTCACTCCCTGATTCTTCGCATATCAAGTCGTCACATTTCATTTCTTCTTGTGTTGTTTTGATGTTCTCAATGACTTCCATTTGAGGAACTAGTGTTGTGCTCATTTGAAATGAAACCCGCACTTTTGGAGTTAAATAGGGTTTCCAAAAACCGTCTAATACTTTCCATTTTCCTCAATTGCACAAAGCAATTCACAACAAGAAATATATTAGAAGAAGGAACTATTCTTTGTTTTAACTTACAAAGGTTGGAACAAAACTTACAAGTCCATTTACTTGCCGTTACCTTGACATTTTAATTGTTATTTTTGGGTGTTTTTTAAAAAATTGCTGGACGCCAAACAATAGGTATACAAATAAGAAAAACAGTGGTTTAATTCTTGTTTTGTTGGAAAATTATAAATAATAAAATTTTAATTCTCTATTAGAAACTTTCTACTATTTTGTTCTTTGTTAAAAAAAATCTATTTTTGCAAACATGAAAAATTTCGAATTGTTTGGAAAGAGAGAAAACAAAACCTCAATTATTCATATCAGTTTTGATTTAGATAAAAAAATTATTTAAATAATTTAGTGATAAGATGTTACTGAGAGAAAACAAAAATGTGTTTAATAGTATTAAAAATGATACATATTATTATAAATTATAAATTGATAATTTTCAAATTAATTAGATGGTTCAGGTTGGAAACAAAAAAAGAAAAACGGCCCTTCGCTGTTGACAAAAGGGAACTTAAAAATAGTTTAAGCAGGTAGGAAATTTGATTATTACAATTTTATACCTTTTTCTATTTCATTGTTTTCATTTTTAATTGTGTGGTAAAAATAAAGAATGTTTTGAGACATAAGACTATTAACTTTTCGTTATATAAGATATTTTTTTCAAAAAATCAACTTGTTTTTGTAGAATAAACAATTGAACAGTTTGAAAATCAGTTTTTTCTTATTTTGAAATGAATAGAGTTCTTTAATCGTGGCATTGAATGAGAAACACTAAAAATAAAATACAAACGTTTCGAACTTTTCGTTCTTTTATAATTGACAATGAACAGTGTTTATTATAACTGAGAAATTGACAATTTAGCTCTATTTTTCATTGTTAATTAATATGACATAACAAAGAATTTATTTTTAAAACAAAAATGAAAAAGATGTTTGTTTACACTCAATTAATTTTATCAAATTAGTTGTTGAGAAGAAGATATATTCATACGCAACAACCAAGATAACAAGCAAAACTTGAGTTTTAAGGACATTTAAGACTTTCACAAATCCTTCAAATAGCAATTAACAATTACTATTGTGTGTTCAGCTTAACATCGTCGATATTTACACATTGAGTAACTATTTTATCCAATTAAGCCTTGTGAACCTCAGAAAATAAGACAATTAAATTGTGAATGGAATTCTTTGTTTCAATAAATAATAAAACAATTTATTATAGAGAGAACTAAAAAACAACTAAAAAATAATAGAAATAACCTTAACATACTGTTACTATTTTAAATAAAACACAATTTTTTTTTGGAACTTAACATGATATACAAAAACTTAATTTGGGGCGACTTTTTTTAATGTAAACAGTAAACAAACCAATCGGGCAAATAATTAATAATAATAATAAATAATAATAACAATAATTTATCAATTTTCCTTTTTTTCTTTGATTTTTGGAAATGTTTTAATTAAAACACTAACAGTATTGGTGTTCTTATCAACAAAACATTTTTTTCCCAAAAAATGTTTTATAAAAGAAAAAAAAAGAGTCGTAAGGATGGCCAATGAAAGATCATAGCAATTCAATCGTTTAAACTATTAAGACATTTATTCAAATATCTCAAATCAAATAATAAAAATGAACAATCACATATTAAAATAATGAATTAATTACTTCAACAATTCGTGTGGTAATGTTCCAACTTTACACACCAACCCAAAAAGTTCATCAGTAGTGGGGTCTCCGCTTTCAAATGTGGTTAAAACGACTTCTATGTGCTCAATCTGCTGTTTACGAGCCTTGAGTTCCTCTACACCCATTCGCAATTTGTTCTTGTCGAACCAACGCACCATCTCGACTTTCAACTTCGCAAATGGCTCCTTCAGTATTTCCTTCGAAAGAAATTGCTTAAACATCTCGATCGTTCCTCTCTCACTCTCTTTTTGAATCTCCCATTGCTATTAATGAGTTACTATTCATTTTAATTTATTTTACAATAAATTATACTTTTTTTTTCTTTGTTATACTATAATAAATATAATTATATACTAATAAACAATAGTAGTATATAAAAAACCATATTATATAATAAAAAAAATTATTAATAAATAACAAACTGCAAGAGCATTAACAATTTGAATAACAATCTCTAAATCGTTGGGTATAATATCTGACCCAATTTCTATGGGGTTTTCTCCTAACTCCTCTGATATGAGGTAATCCATTTCACCTTTTTGTAAAACGCAATTTACTTTGGAATAACAAACGCTCAAGGTCAGCATCTTCCATCTTTAATATGAGTTGTCATTCGTTGTTGGTTTCAAACTATTTATTGTTAATAAATAAACTAAATATTTACTATGAGAAATAATTTGATGAAAAAGTAAATTATTATTTTGTTTTATAGTTAAATAATAATTTATTTATTAATAATACATAAAAATGAAATGACTAAAAAAAAATTACTTAAAAAAATTATTTAATTTACATTTTTTTTATTTTGCAAAAATGAAAAATAAAAACTGATCAAATACTATTTATTATTATAACTTGTTAAGATTTTTATAATTTTTATCTTTTTAAAAAATTCAATATTTTGGTTATTAATAATAAATTATTCTTAAAAAATAATAAGAAACCATAAATATTATATATTATTTATTTAAGTAAACTATACTTAAATTTTTGTAATTTTGAGATAATAATTTACCATTGTTATTAATAAACATACTATATATATTTAGTATTATTAATGATAGAAGGTCTATTTCTACGTACAAAAAAAACTTTCTATTTATACAACCAATATTCACCCCAAAAATATATTAAAAAAATATTTAAATAATGTGAAAAATTTCGGGCAAAGATCGCAAAAACGAAAAATAGGTTTTTGTTTTTTTACTGGGGTGAATCACTTTTTTTCGTTCCAACTCAAAAATCACGAAACATAAACATCTCTCAGTCACTCACCACAAAACACACAAAGACATCAACTCACGACACATCTTTGTTGTATCAAGCAAAACACGGTCAACCATTTTATAGTTTGTTGTATTTAATATTCAAATTATAATTACAAAACTATTTATATAATAATTTTTATTATATATTATGGTTTCTCAAATAATACCTTTACACCAAGTAAATATATTAAATCTTATTGGTAATAATATGAAACTATACTTGAAGATTAATTTTATTACAATTACGACACTTATTCAAACCATAAACAAATTAATAACAAATTATAAAATTTAACTATTCGCACTTCTTCGGACTTTCGACGGTGCACACGACGACTCGCTGACAAAAAATGTTCCGTGCCAGTGTAAGTATTGTTCTATACAATACCTGAAAAGCAAGGTTCCTTCTTTTCGTCTGCTCGAGATCAACACATAAGCGCCGTCTGAGAATAGACGTACCCAATTCTCTCAGAAACTTCATTTCTTTTGACATCTTCTCATTCCGACATTATGGGACGTTTTAAACTATTCAATTAAGTTATTATACTTCAACTTATACTATCCTCTCTTCGCTGTTAAATAAACGTCCGTTATAAATAAGTGTGTATTTCTCGAATGTGTGAATACTTGGGATAAATGTGACATTATAAAACTATTGAGTATTGTCTGTTCTATTCTTTTCAGTATTTCACCGTTCTCTCGCGGTGTCGTCTCTCATCCTGTCCTTTTAATTCCTCATTCATTAAAACCATAATTAAATAGTATCAAAACTAGAATTAAACTATCCAATCTCTGTTGTGGTTTTCACCATTTTCCCTTCTTTTCAAAGCCCGCCAGGAGCTTTACCTTTTGTTCGATATGTTTAATGAACACGTCGTCCTCGCATGGTCTCACGTCGAAAGTTTCCAAGAAGAATTTAGTAGGGTATGTGACTCCCAATTTTGTGCCTTCTGTTTGTACTGACCCGAAGAGTTCGATTTTCTTGTAAACGAAGTCAAACAACTTTTCGACCAAAGGGTAAGGGATGAAGTGCATGAGGTCCCAAAAGAAGTACCCGCAGCACGCCGCAACCATTTTAAATGCATTTTCCTTCATTTGTGGTGTGTTCCTCAAGATATAAAATGCAAGTCTGAAGTAGTGGGGGTAGTTCCTCATATTGACCTTCTTGTAATCAAAAAACTGTTTAAAATTGTCGTGCGTGAGCAACGTCTTCGCGTCGTTCTGACACACCGGCACCTTCTGTTGTCTTTCATACGGCGGCGCAAAGAATGAGAAGAAGACGTTGAAGTCTCCCTTTGAAATAGGGTCGACCAAGCACTCTCCAATCATTTGTTTCCTAAACGCCACCGAATACGTATCATTCAAGAACGCAAAAAAGTAGTCCACGTCATTATACACCACCTTCCCATTCTCAAAATCTACAGGGACATTCACACTCGTCAAATTCGGCTCTCCTAACACTACTAACGTGTTCTGCTCTATCTTCCAATCACCTTTGATCTTCTCGTACTCCTCCACGGTCATCGTCTTCTTCATTTCTTTCACTTTTCTATAGAACAAGACCTCAAAGTCAGTGTTCTCTATCCGTAACAAATGCTCTTGCGTCGATAAGAACAAGTCAGAAGTCTTCTCTTTCACGTCTTGTATCACCGGCTGACTACTTTTGGGCACTTTGCTCTTCTTCGCAGCTTCTTTTAAACTCGTCATCACACTCTTCCGCTTCTCACTCTTCTTCCCATGATGCACAGACACCCTCCCGTCACTCACCGAAGTCACTAATACTTGCGACAGTACTCGCGAGCTCATCCCCGTCCGACGAAGGTCTTCTTGTTGTTGCACTTCCGTGTGCTGTTGATGGTCTTTGATATAATCGATGACGTCTTTGTTCTGAAGAGAGATGATTGGACAGAACGTATAGTTGATCCCAAGGTATCTCATGTACTCCCCAAGACTCGTTTCTTTGCCGCTGAACCGACTAAACCCTAAATACAGATTGAGGAATTCTATCCGAATGATTTGATTGACTCGTTCGTTCTCATTCTGAAAGAACACAACATCCGTCCGTCTCATGAAGTTCGAGATCTCTTCCGGTGGAAACAGTTGCACTGTATGTAACACCGTTGATGTTAGTAATGGGCTTTTAATCTCCCCAAAGAAGTCTTCGATCTCCTCTTGTTGTTCTTTGTTGAGCTTCAAACTAATCAAAGAGACATCAAAGTCCCTCTTCCTCCCTATATAATAGATCAACACTAACGTCTCAAGTAAATTCCTCTTATCGGTGACATCCCCAAACCCTAAATACTTCAGTGGACTCTCATTGATCCGTACCGACGTTGGTAACGCCTTACTCGCATTAATTAAATGTCCCGCAAACCCCACAATATTAATCAAGTAAAATTGCGTCGGAAATAATTGAAAATTGACCTCCGTCTTATCGTCCAAGCCAAGAATGACCTTCTTCAAAAAGTCGATCTTCCCACTCAGCTTCTTCCGCAATTTGTTCGCTGCACTCTTCACCGCCTCTCTATTGATCTCAACTACCTTCCGCTCGTCTTCTAACTCAACGGTACTAAACATCCGAATCTTCGTAAAAACACTCAAAAAGAATTTATCAAACTGCTTCGCTATCGTCCGCGTGATCTTACTCTCCGGCGTCGGGTACATCGTCATGGTGTCCGCAAACTCGATGAAGTCTTTCAAGTTCTCCTTGTCGTTCACAATCGCCTCGACGACGTCTTTCGAGCTCATAAAATACGACAGACAGACGTGGACCTCGTTCGACTCAAACGTCTTGTTATTCCTCAACAAGACTATCGTCGTGTTTAAAAAGTGTGGGACTAAATCTGACGGCTTGTACCTCTCCGTCATCGGTGGAAACAATTTCGGCAGTAATGTCCCATACACGGGAATGCTCCCAAAGACTTTCCTATACGCAGCCTCAAACGTCTGAAGTGTGTTGTCGTCCATCAGTAAATACAGTAAACGCGCTGTATATGTACTCGTGAGCTTATTAAACACACAGAAGTTCAAGAAGATGTCATGCACCGTCACACAGATCTTTAAATTCTTTGAGGTTTCCACATTTTCAAGTTCGCTGGCGACTCGAGTGACTTTGTACCTCTTCGCGTGTTTGACTAAGACCGTCTCGTCAAGCATTTCAGTGAGTAAAAATGGCTTTTCGATATCGACACTTTCAAGTAAAACACTTTTCATCACATCTCTGACGGGCTGGAAGGAAACGATTTTGTTCAACCAACGAACGACGTGGTAGACGAACATTTCTGTGTCATTGTCGGAGTTCTCGTTCAAGATCTCAGCCATTTTTACACAGACTAGTTTGACGATCTCGGGGACTGTGAACTTTGCGACGAGTCCAAGCTTCTTAAAGGTCTTCTCGACGTTCCGATCAATCGCTTTCTTCTCGATATAATCAGTGTACTCATCTTCACTTAAGATCTGCTTTAAAGTCTCTTCATCCCGAGTCTCTAAACACTTCTTATCTAAACAATTCGTCGTGTGTAACTGACAAGGACATACACGACCCCCATCAAACATGAAATCACCACAACGACAGAAGTCGACGTCATTCCCTTTGTTCTCTAAAAGCAAATGCCCCGCTTTGCGATGATACACTTCACACTCTTGACAGACGATGTACTGCGTCGACCGCCCTTCAGAACAATTCAAACACTGAAAGCTCTTCGCCTTCGCGGGAATGAAGTTGTAACACCTCTGCTCTATTAATACACACCACCAAACTCTAAATAACAAACATCCGTCTTTTGGTACTTCAATAACTTCATCGGTTCGACATCATCAAAAAAGAGAAGTCGATCTAAATACCGATTTTTGTCGAGTGTGTTCGAGATTAGTGTCTTAATATCATTCTGCATCACAGGGTGCCCATTCTTGGTATCGAGTGCACTCGTCCCTTTATCAGCCATTCTATTCCAGTTCCTTCCAAGTTTTTCAGTTGCTCTATCCACTCTTTTGCTCTATGAAAATGGGATTGCTTCGGTTAACAATCAAAATGTTAAACAGTTCGCTTTGAAGAGGACTTTTACATGAGATTATTGAACGAATTTGAATTTTTGGAATACGAAAATAAAGAATTTGAATGGGTGGTGTAATTCCGATATTTCCCGATTTGTTACACAATTAACTCCTAATATATTATAACAAAAAAGGTGTGTGTTTTACTACACATTTTTAAAATTTTTTTGAAATTTTTAAAAAAGTTTTAAAAAAGTTTGACGCAAGTCAAACACAACCGTACGAAACTATAAATATAATTCACTTATTAATATAATATAGTTTCACACCTTCGTTTTATTATAAAACCCATTTGATGTGGAATACGACGACAAAACGGTCACCGCACTTTCTAAGAAGAGGAGTGCTTTTGTTTTGTTTTTTGTATTAATAATGTTAGTTCTTTTATCACCTTCTAATAGTACAGTATTAACTTGTGTTAAGACCGTGTGGAGAAGTTCGATGGCCTGTTTCTTCCTTTCCACAATTTCAGACCGAAACTTTTCCTTCTCTTTCTTTGAATCTTCCAACCCGACTTCTTTCTTGAGTTGTGCGATCACTCCGATAAGTAAAACCTTTAGTTTTGCGTCGTTTTCGGTCTTCTTTTTCATCACTTCTTTTTCACAGAGCTTTTTCCCCAACTTTCCAAGGAAAGAGGAAATCCAACACATCCGGATGATCACTCCAAATTCCTCCTGTTTTTCCATGAACACCAACTCATTCGTTTCCTTTTGAATTTCTAATTGTTTGCTCTTCATTTGCAGCAAATTTTCAAGTCGAGCGAAGTCCATAGAGTTGAACAAAAAGAGGTTTCCCGGGACAAGGCCGTTCAATTTAGTGATTGGACTACTAAACACGACTAATGAGGAATCGTTGTTTTGTCCACATAATAAGACAAAGTAATCCAACCACAATTCCCGATATCTTTCCCCTAAGAAATCGGGGACCATTGGGTTGAAGTACATTGCTTTACAAAACGAGACGGGGTAGAGCCACATACACCGCTCGACACTAATTTGAGGTCCATTTTCTAAGAAGCAGACATTCCCGTCGTCGTCCACTGAGACGTACTCCAGTGGCTTCTCCTCTTTCTTAGTGACCTCTTTAAATGACTCTTTCACCCTTTCCGCGGTGGTGTCTCCAAAGTTAGCGACGGGTAAAAACGTCGTCTCTGCCTTCCCTTTTTTAGTCTTTGATTTGAGTGGTTTTCTACGCAAGTCTTTACTTAAGCCTTTTTCCGAAGAAGATGATGGGATCTCACTCGTTATTTGAGTCTTTTGCGTGTTATTTGACTCCGGAGACACAAATGGCATTTGACTCAACCAAGTAGGTGGTTCATTGACTTCAAGACGTCCCACCTTATGTAATCGTAAGACGTCGTATTGATTCTTAATGATGTACTTCACAAAGCGGATGTCCAAATACATTAAGAAATACGCGGTGATGTACTTGTCGTCCGGATTGACAAAGTTCTCTTCCAAATTGTTCTCCTCTAAGACAAAGAGTGCGTCGTAGTACCAACACAGACCTTGTTTCCTCTGACGGATCAGAATCTCCCAAATGACCCGATTCCGTGCTCTTCTCCGCCGCTCACGATCTTCACGCCGAAGGCTCCTCTGTGCTTTCCGAAGTGTTAACTCGTCGATCCGCGTCTCATTCTTCTTTGCGCAAAGGAGTTCGCTCTTCATCTCTTTGTCTTCTCTTTCGTCCTCTTTGAGGTCATTAGAAGACTCTTCCTCATCGCGTTGACTCTCTTCAAGTAGTTTCGCTATCCTTTCCTCGTCCTTTACAACACTTTCTCGGTGCTTTTCATTCGACTTCTGCCCGTAGATCACTCCAAGTTTGTTCTCCTTCACCTTCTCGTTCTTCACTCTTTCCAGTGTGTGTTCATATGTGACGATCTCCTTCCTCTGCTTCTCCCATTCGTCACTCTTCATCTTCGCAAAGGCAATTTGCTTAATAAACAAATCGACCCGTCGCCCAAGCCCGGGGTCGTACGAATTGAGGAGAAACGCGACGTTTGCGATCGCCAGTTTCTCGTCGCCAAAGACCGCGAAGTCGGGGAGTTCGTAATTCAAATTTTCAAGGAAGAGGCGCTGGACGACAAAGAACTCTTCGATGTTCTTCAGCGGTTTGCTGTTATTTGAAGTGACAAATTCAGTTGTGAAGTCCTCTTTTGCGATTTTCCTCTTCTTTCCAGACCTCAGTGTTGCTAAGTCCATCTCAGTCTTTGCCCAACAGACTCTTTCGATGAATCCTAAGACTCGAGAGATCAGCGGCGCATATCTAAAGTCTCCTGTTGTGGTTCTACAGATCTCCGCGTGTGTGGCGGACGTCTCCATATTAGTGAATTCGGCGGAGATCCGTTGCAAGAGAGGAGGGACGATCTTCCGAAGACTCTTAGCGTCGGTGTGAGTCGCGTTGATGAAGATCGCGTTCAAACAGATCAAAGGGATCTCAAAGAGCTTCATCTGCATCGAAGTGTAGAGGTCCGGCGTCTTCTTTGAAGAGAACATGAGCTTCCCCGTGAAGCTCGCGACGGAGAAGAACAGCGCGTTTTGCGTCGAGTCGGACTCTAAGATGCATCGGAACATTTCTAAGTAGTCGTCGTGGGAAAACCTGTTAATAAAAAGTGCTTTTGTAGCAGTCAAAGAGACGAAGAAAGACGCGTAATTGCTCTTCAAAGTGTTCTTATTCGACTCCTTTTGAGGTACATTTTGGGACGTCTTCTTATACACAAAGTCTTTGTTCTCAAAGGGGTTGTCGGAAGCCCCAACTTTACTCTGCTCGTTGAGGAGTTTAAGTTTTGTGTTCTTCTCAACGAGTAGCGAGAAGACTGCGGTGAGGCACAACGAGTTTTGTTTGTGGTGAGTCATAAAAACGGTGTTACCGAATAAGCAAAAGGTGAAGGTGTTAATGAGTTGATCACTTTGTAACACGGGGAAAGACTTGTTGTGCACTGCCTTAGCGAAATAGAAGAAGTTTGACTCACCACTTTCGATGTCGAAGCTCTTTTTGTTCTTTATTTGTGCTAATAAAGTGATTAAAAGCTTTGTTATAGTTTGATTGAGTGAGTTATAGTTTGCTGCGAAGTCGCAGAGCTTTGAGACTAAGTTCTGTCCTGAGTTAAAGAAGTCGTAAAACTTTTGGCAGCCCTCATCGACAAATCTTTTGGAGGACAAAATGAACTCAAAGTTGTATGCCAGTTGAAAGGAGTTAAATAAGTCGATCAAGTACTTAAGAAGACAAACAGCTTCGACCTCCTTTCTATCGTCTAAATAGTCTAATAAGACTAATGCGAGCTTTTCTAAGCCATTCTCTATATCTTTATTTGAACATCGTTTCATATAGTCAGTGTACTTCTTATGCTCTGTACAACTATTTCGATCCTTCGTGCAATTGATATGTGTGCATTTCAGATCAGTGCACGTGTTTCCACAGTTACAAATGGCATAAAGAGGTACAGTCCCTTTGAGATGATTCATCTTGCCTTGACAGCGGAGTGAAGTGATTGAGTCTTGAAGTGGAGTGTGCGTCGAAGGATCTAAATGGGAATTACACGCGGGACAGAAATATAACGTCACTCGTGGGTCACACTTGCAGATGTAATAATCATCAAACAGCGCACAATTACAACAGTCCGATTTCTGTGTTAAAAACGCCTCTTTTTGAGATAACGAACTGAAAATGATCGAGTCGAAAAACACCGTGTAATCAATCGGTTCGGAAATGCGTGAGACTTCCTTCTGCACTCTCAAAAGGTCACTCAAACTTAATTCATTTGTCTCGTCTAAATGTGAAAAGACGTCGGAGAGAACGTCAAAAGTTTCCTCCATCGCTAGACTAAGAGTGATTAAACACTTTCAGTGGTCGTCTTGAAAAGAAAATAACTCAAAAACACTAAAATGGTGTTTTACTTTTATTTGGTTATGGTAAATAAAAGTATTAAATAACACGACTATAGTTGTGATTTGGTGAAAAACGTTTTAAAGTGTTTTTATTTTATTTTAAATTGTTTTTATTTTTGTAAGGAGTGTAATGAAATTGATAAAATTTTTTATTTTTATTTTGTGCTATTTGGTATTCTATTTCTTTGGCTTTTTATTCTATAATATTAGTAAATCAAAAAAAGTTATTTGTTTTTTTAATTTAATTATATTTATCTTATTATTATTGTTTTTAAAATACTAAAAATGTTTTTTATTAAGTGATATTATTAATAATTAATAATTAATAATAGTAATAAAAAATGAATTTTTATTTAAGTTATTTATAATACTAAAACTATTTGTATAGTAATAAATAATATATAGTTTTTTATTTTAATTAAATACAATTTTTATAACAAATCATTTTAGAAAATTAAATAATTTAATTATTATATATAGTATATCAATAGTTAAATTATCAAAATAATCAAATTATTAACTTTATTAATTATTTATTATACCAATTATCTAAATTAAAATAATAAATATAGTTTAAAATAAAAAGAATTCCATAAAACATTTCTCAAATAAGTTTGATCTTCTGTTATCAAGAGTAATAATTTTATTAAATTAAATATAATAAAAAAACCATACATTATAGTAAAAAGAAAAGTTCATATTTTTATTTATAGCAAAAAAATAATTAAATGGATTAGGTAGATAACCCGATAATTTAGTCTTTAATTATTTGTTATAATTAATTTGTATTAAAAAAATAAAAATAACCAATAATTAGTCGTGATGAATCTATTATAACGCAATAATTCTTTTATGGTATTATATTGATTAAAGTTTGACTTCAATTAAAAAAAATAATTTTAACGGTTTGAAATTGAATTTATTTGATAATTTTTCTCTAGTTTTTTATACTAATGAATGAACAATAAATGATATTTAATTACCGATATAAATTGAATTTCATTTTTAAAACCTTTTTCAAATGCTTAAATGCCATAATAAACGTTTTGATGTTCATCTCTAAAAACAATGCCGAACAATCAACTCAATGAAAAAAGTCAAAACATCCCTCTTCAGTTATTCAAATAAAAAAATCCGCCAAAATCTCACAAAAAACGGGAAATTGATGGAAAAAATGATTGAATTAAAAAACTAATAATAATTAATAAAATGATTCATTACTCAAAAGTCCTATATAAACGAACTTTTTAATAGCAAATAACACACAATGGCTTATTACGACAAACACGCTTATAAACAACAAGAAAAATACTACGAACACCAAAGAGACATGCAAAAAGATATGATGAAACATCAATATGAGGCTCAGAAGGATGCTATGAAATACGGGTGCGCACCAGGTATGGCTCCTATGGGGTATCCACCTATGGGATGTGCTCCTGGGATGGCCCCTATGGGTGCTTATCCTCCTATGGGTGCACCGGGAATGGTTCCAGGTATGGCTCCTATGGGTTGCCCACCAATGGGTGCTCCTGTTTATCCACCTATGGGCGCACCAGGAATGGCTCCGATGGGTTACCCAGGCTCAATGGGAATGGGTGGATATCCCAATGGTGCTTTCTAATTAATTAATTAATCATTCTTAGACTTTTTGAATTATTCGGTTATTAATTTATTGTAATTAAATGTATTATAATCAAATTATTATTATTTAAATAATAAATTATAGTTATTAAATGAATTCTAATAAAATTGAATCGAATCAGTGATAATAGTTTTAAATAAAAACTTTTTAATAAAACAATTTATTATTAAATAAATAAAATTATAAATCATAAAAAGTTATTTTGTTAAAAAATTTTTAATTGATAATTATTTGGTTTTTTTATTAGTTGTTTTTAATTTAAATTAATTTTGAGTGTTGATTTTTTTATCAATTCAAAAATCTTTTACTAAAAATAAAATAAATAAAAAATTTCAAGAACTCAAAAGTTTAAGTAAAACAAGTTAATTTTACTTAATAAATAAGTATAGTAAAACAAACAATAAATATAGTATTAACAAAAGTCAGTTATAATTTTTCATTTACAAGAATTTAGTTTTCACCAATTTAATTTTTTTTAATAATTCTAGTGATGATTTTTGTTTTATTTTCCACAAATGAAAGGAAGAAATTAACTTGATTTTTTCGACTGATAATTAGTGCAAAAAGGCACTGATGCAACAGACTAATTTTTGTACTTGTTATGTTGAGTCAAAACAAATCCATTGATTTCCAGATTTTTAGAAAACCGGAACTTCAGAGAACTTAAAAACTCAATGAGTAAAACTCCCAAAGACAAGAAGGAGTTTGTATTTCGCCATTTCTTCATTAATTCATCATTTTCGAATACCAAAACCTATTCCCTTTATTCTTCTCAACACATTTGACTTATAGTGACATTGCTATCGACGTCATCCCTCTCCCCAAAACAGACAAGAAGAAGAAGAGTATCTTTCAGAAGCTTTTTGGTAAGAAGGAAGACAAGACGACTGTCGTCTCCGTCAAACAAGGGACTCATATGACTTACGATGAGAAGGCTGGGATTTCCGGGTACCCCCCACAATGGGAAGCCTTCATTAAAGGTTCTGGTCTTGTTAAAGAAGAAATCGAGCAGATTGAGAACAACAAAGATCAGAACGCAGCCTTTGAGGATGTCGTCAAATTCCACTTAAAAGCAGAGCCTTCTGCTTTGAATAAGATTTTAAAGCCCAAATCGGACGACGACGATACAGCGGAGATGCTTGAGATCGACGACCCCGAGTCGGTCTTACCCGAGAAGGACACTGAAATGACGTTAGAGCAATTAGCTGAGCCGGGATTGCCTGAAGACTTCTTTGAGAACTTCAGTAAGATAGGGGAGGGAGCTGCTGGGGAAGTCTTCTTAGCACAGAACAAGAAAGATGGGAAAGACTTTGCTTTAAAGAAGTGTGTGATTACCTCGAAGAATGAGAAGAGTTTGATCAATGAAATTGAAATCATGAAGAATTGTAAGCACGTCAACATCGTCTCGTTCTTCGGAAGTTATTTGGAAGAGGGATATGTTTGGGTCGTCATGGAATTCATGGACTCCGGGTGCCTCACAGAGATCCTCACAGAGTATGAAAATGGGTTCAAATTAACAGAACCACAAATGGCTTTTGTGTTGCGCGAAGTGATGCGTGGACTCTTGTACCTCCACCAGAGACATAAGATCCACCGCGACATCAAATCAGACAACATTTTGATCTCCTCCGACGGTTCAGTGAAAATCGGTGACTTTGGATACGCAGCGCAGTTGACGTCGCAAAGAGATAAGAGAAATTCTATTGTAGGAACACCTTATTGGATGGCTCCAGAAGTAATAAGAAATAAATTGTACGACGCTAAAGCTGATATCTGGTCCATCGGAATTATGATGATGGAAATGACGGAGGGAGACCCCCCGTATATGGAATTACCACCACTTAGGTTTGTTCTTCGTCGTTTTGAGTGGGTCATGATAAGATGCCAAATATCTTATTGAATCTGGATGACACGTGAGATCTAAATTCTCTAAGATTGGTAGCACAATGGATAAAGAATGAGTACTCACACACAGAGCGTTGTTCTTGATCACGACAAAGGGTATCCCACCACTGAAAGAGAGAGAATCGTGGACGCCAGACCTCGTGAAATTGGTAGAGTCGTGTCTGATGAAAGACCCCAATTTACGACCGACGAGCGAACAGGTCTTAGAAAGTCCGTTTGTAGCTTCTGCGTGCAAGAAGGAAGAGTTCGCACAGGTTGTAGCAGAAACCCACAAGTAGTCTTTATAACTTGTGTTGTTCTTTGTCCGTTTTTACTATTAATTTATAGTTATTTTACTAATAAAAGAAGTAATATATATTTAATCGATTGCGGGTGTGTATCACGGGGAGAATGCATGCTTCCGCGATGAAAGTTCCTTCTTTTCACAAACTAAATAGACTCGATCTTCAACATGGTCGAGGAGAGTGAAGTGCTTACCTCTTAAATATTTTTGTTGGAATTTTGAAATTAAGTTGAGATCTGTTTCGTTTAAAGAGTTGACTGTATAGTCGTCTAGGGAGTTTATTATAATGTCTAATAGTTGTTTTATGTCAGCAAATTGCGTTGTATACTCTTCTTCCATCAAATCGTCTTTTTTTTGAGGTTTACAATCTCCTCTTTCATATTTTTTTAATTAAATTCATTGAATATATTTTTATTTGAATTTTTTTCATTTTTTTAATTAATAATTAAATCGTTTTTTTGCTATTACAAGTATCATATATAATTAATGAAAAATTGTTTATTCATACATATGTGGGACTAAAGTTTCAACCAGTACCTAGGTTTCGACTTATTATTTAATTAGTAATTGAATAGTAATGAACAAGTTTCCCAATTTATTTTTAAAAACTGTTCTAAATAAAACTTTTCATATTTAGTTATTAATATTACAATGGTATATAAATTATTAATTATTAGTCGAAACCATGGTCTCGGTCGAAACCTTAGTTCCACGTCTGTAGTAATGATTTTTATAATTTAATGTAAATCTTTTTACTGAATCTATTTAAGTTTTTAATTTTTGTTATTCATTTGTTATTTATAGTTTAAATTTAATAGTTTTTTAAAATCACATCCATTCCAACTGAAATTTTGTTGATATAAAGAGAAAAAGAATTTATCTTTTGGGAGTTTAGCACAACGGTAGTGTATTATAACAGATTTAATTCTATTAAGTTCAAATCAACTTTAAAGACGTCGGGTTCGACTCCCACAACTCCCGTTTTTTTATAAATTTCAAATTTTTTTATTTGTAATCATTTTTATAGTTGATTATGATAAATATTAAAACTGCAGTTCAATAAATGCTTCCTATGTATTAAAAAATTAAATGAATTCATTTAAGTTGTATAAACGTTGGATATACATATGACTTCATAATTATTTAGTCGAGAGTCGTTAAGATCTGTTATTAAATTTGTTATTCCATAGATATAAAAACAAGCAAGTTAAATTTGAACAGTTATAAATTATAGCTAAATTTATTATTAAAAACAGTTTCCAACTTTATACAATGGTTATATTTTTGTGATTCAATAATTGAGTCAATTTAAGTATCTTGTTCATAGAAATTGTGTCTCTTATTTTTTAATAGAAACAATTTGTGGAAGTTTTTATATTTTTAACGTTAACATTAGAATATGCTTCATGAATAATGAAGCTCCATCACATATATTTTATAAGAAGAAATATGCCGTGAATAAATTATAAAACAATAGAATCGAAGGAAATAATAGCAAATTTAGTTTCAAAAATTTCAATTGGTTAAAAACTAAAACCACTTCTTCGACTTCCATAACCAAAAAATAACTTAAAAGTACAAACACTACAGAAACGAACATGTTCTTGTTTTTATTTCTTTTTCTGCCAGTTTTGGGCATTAACTACATAGTCCCAAGCGACACGGAATTTGTTTGCGATGAAAGTTGTTTGTTCATTATACTCATCGAGTTGTAAAGGTTAAGAGTTTAAATACATTTTCTAAACAGGTTATGTAAAATTCATATCAAATATATTTAGACGGTTTTGTACCTTAAAAAACTTGAATATTTGTGAAACACTAAAAATAATATCTTTTATGCTTAATAGCATTTTAAGTTATATAATTACAATGTATAATTCTGTTAATTAATATAAATATTAAAACACAGGGAGAACCAAAGTAACAACTGAAAGTATCTCATCAGTTCAATTTGATTATTCAAAAAACATCACCTATTCAAAAGATTGTGTGGTGACAGACGATTTACTCTTCACATTTTCTTCTGGTGTTTTTCAAATGGAAATTATCAAAACAGAAACATTCATTCCATTCAAATTGGCGGGTGGAATTAATTTAGAAAAGAATGTCGAATTAACACTGACAAATTACAACAAAATTTTCGAATTCAAATTATTGATTTTGAATATTAATTCAACACTAAAATTTAACGAAGAATTCGTGTTACAACAGAGAACTTTTTCTTTTGCAAATCATCGACTGTATTGCACAAATTTCACGACAAAAAGTGCAAAAATCACGACAACTGATTTTTACTTGGGATATACAAATTATTTAATAGTGATAAATACGAATTTTTTAACGCAAAATTCGGAACTCATTGTGCAAAATTGCATCTCAAATGACTCCTCGATTTTCACAATGAAAAATTCAAAATTCGCTGCATCACAACATTTGGGAATTGTCACATTAAATTTGGAAAACACTACAGTTCATTCAAAAAGTCTACGGACGACTCGACTTACACTAGTTGGCACTTCTAACATTATTACAGATGATTATATTGATCTTGGATATTTAGTGTTATTGGACACTTCCTTCATTGAAACAAAGTCGCTCACAATATCACAATCAGTCTCATTTTCATCACAAAAGAGTGTAACATTTGGATCACTTGAAACTATTTCGTTGTTCGCAAGAATGACTATAGATATTAGTGTGGACACTTTTATAACGAAACAAATCCCTTTTGTACATGTAGTAGGTAATCTTAATTTGAATGATATAATTATAACATCAAATACCAGTTGTGTCGACGCCTTTTCATCATATAAAACACTCACATTCACAACATCAGATAACACAAGTAAATACATGTTACTTTCAAACGGAAAATTATTGCGATTTTGCAATAATGAATTGAATGAAGAAATCCACTGCTATTTAAACTCGACAAATTACTTGGACGACTTTTCAAAGAAGGTCGACGTCTATTCTTTTACTTATCCGCACTGCCCGTGCTTTGGAAATAACTGTTATATTCATTTTGAGAGTTCATTGAGTACTTATACAACAATTGGAAATAACAAGATCGATGCGACTCTTATTGGAAGTCACTTAAAACTCGACTTTTCTGTTGCTCCGATCAAACAAAGCACTCAATTAAACATAAAAAGAACAACTGAAACCATTCAAACAGTCCGAGGGACGATCGAATCACTCAAATTTGATGAAATTCAATTCGACTTTGTGTTGGCAGAAGGTGTCACAATAGAAAAGACCAACAGTGGAGAATCAACATCAAAGATAACATTTTTGAATGCAAAAGGTAACAACATATTTGATATTGAATGGAACTCAACTTCAATGAGATGCACCTTTTTCACGTTAAATTATGAATACATTTTCTTTAATGGAAGTTTTGTTATTGGAGACAATTTAATTGACATTACAACGTCGGCAGCAATAACAATACTTACTCAAGTGCCGATAATAACAACAATGGAAGAAACAGATCAATGTTACCGGTTAAATTATTCAACATCACCAGCAGTATTTCGACAGTGTGTTGGTATGTGTAATACATGTCAAGAGGAGTACAATCCAGATGGTGAATGTTTTGTACCTTCTGTAGTTCAGAAGCCAAATTGCATTTCTTGTTATGTTGATGAGACTTCAAATAAATTATGTAATTTGTGTAAGACCGGATTTTATCTGGAGAATGGGGATTGTGTGCCATGTGTTGCAAATTGTGCTTCTTGTGATAAAGTCACTGGTATTTGTTTTGAATGTGCAAAAGACTTTGAATTAAGAAACAACACGTGTGTTCAGTGCATTAATACAAATTGTGAATATTGCAATGAAACTAATGTTTGTGTAAATTGTAAAGATGGGTATACGCTAAATACATTTGGAGAGTGCGTGTTTTGTAAAACATATTTTGGTGGATGTGAAAAATGTTCAACAAATGAGTTCAAGTGCAATCAATGTACAAGTGGTAATTATTTAAAAGATGGGGGGTGTGCAAGTTGTACAAATGAATATTGCCTTTCGTGTGGTCCAATTGAATTTAATTGTTCTCGGTGTATTCCCGGGTACTTTCCCACACAAAACAGAGAGAAATGCATTACATGTAACGAGAAGATCAATTGTTCTATATGTTCTACAACTAGTGATGTTTGTGTAGAATGCAACACTGGGTATTATCCACATAATAGTCAATGTGCATCTTGTGCTTCGATAAATTGTGAAGAGTGTGACAGTGAAAATGGGATATGTTCACGGTGTATGAATGGGTATGGACTTGATAATGGTAATTGTATTCAATGTGAAACAACATTACATTGTTTAAATTGTGTGGTTAATGGAATATGTGAAGGGGCGTGCGAACTGAATTACACAAACCACAATGGTATTTGTCAATTGTGTTCTTCAATACCAAATTGTAAGACGTGTTTACAAGACAGATTTGAATGCACTGAATGTCTCAACAACAATTTTCTTATAGATGGAATATGCGAGCCTTGTGCTGTGAATAACAAGTGTTCTACGTGTTCATCTACAAGTGATCACTGTGAAATATGTAAAGACGGAAATTATCCGTTAAATTATAAATGTGTTTCATGCTCTAAAAACACACACAACTGCCTCACATGTTCAACCTCAAATGACACGTGTATTACATGCAAAGATGGGCACTATATGAATAAAGATTTATATTGTGATACATGTCGCAGCATCTATTGCTTAGACACTTTATGTTCACAAAATGGAGAGTGTTCTGGATGTTTGTCCGGTTATTACTTAGATGGCTCCACTTGCATGAGTTGTGAGTTAATCGATGGCTGTGCCGCATGCTCTCCATATTCCAAGAGTTGTGTTATTTGCAAAGACGATTACTATAAAAAGGAATCATTGTGTCATCCATGCACAGACTTGTTCTGTGACAAATGTGACCAAAACGGGTATTGTTCAAGATGTCTTCCAAATTATTATCTTGACAATGGGATTTGTGTCGCTTGCTTATTGAAAGAAGGGTGTGCCATTTGTTCTAATACTGCAAATGCGTGTTTGGAATGTCTTGAAGGATATTTCCCAAGTAACGAAAAGTGCTTAACATGTTCAACAAAAAATTGCGAATCTTGTGATCGAATCACTAAGAAGTGTTTTTCATGTGTCGATGGATATTATTTGAATACCAGTGAATGTATTTTGTGTTCCAAAACAAATGAAAATTGTAATTTGTGTAATACATGGGACACTTGTCTTCTTTGTAATAATAACTATTTTCTTGAAGGAAACAAGTGTATTTCATGTTCCCAAAAGGAGCATTGTTCGACATGTTCAAACGTTGACAGCAAATGTATAATTTGTGTTGATGGATATTTCCCTAAAAATGGAAGTTGTGAAACATGTGCTATGAATGGATGCTTCGATTGTTCTACAACAAGTGGTGCATGTACTTCATGTCGAGAAGGAGAGTATCTGAATAACAGAACGTGTGCAAAATGTGAATTAAATTGTAAAAAGTGTAATTCTAAAATTGGTTGTACCGAGTGTTTGGAATCATTTTATTTAATGGATGGTATTTGTTTTCCATGTTCACTGAAAGATTCGTGTGGAAAATGTAGTACAACAACAAATTCGTGTTTAACATGTAACACTGGATTCTTTCCTCATGACGCCGTTTGTCTATTGTGTTCCACAAAGAATTGTTCTTCATGTGACAACTCGACAGGGTATTGCACTTCATGTGAACAGACACGCTACTTAGATGCTGGCGAATGTAAAATGTGTATTTCCACACTTTTAAATTGTGAGACATGTTCTGTAGGCACAAAGTGTCTTTCATGCGCTCTCAACTATTTTTTAGACTTGGGTCGGTGCTTTCCATGTTCATCAAAATTACACTGCTCAACATGTTCACAGACGTCCCCATTATGTTTGGAGTGTGAAGAAGATTATTATCCAGCCGGAAAAAAATGTGACACTTGTCTCTCGAAGCATTGTACTGTTTGTAGTAACACAACGGGGAAGTGTTCGGCTTGTGCATCTGGATATAAGCTCCAAGCTGATTCTTGTGTTTCATGTGCGAGTTCAAACTGTTTGAACTGTGATGTGGATATCAACTCTTGCTCTGTTTGCGAGCCGAACTACTCTCCAACAACAAATGGAACCTGCACACCATGCAACTCGACTTATAGTTCATGTGCCACAAATTTGTGTTCACAAACAGAACCACAGAAGTGCCTTGAGTGCAGAGACAATTACTTTCTCATTGATTCGGAATGTTGTTCATGTGCGTATAATCACTGTGGAGTATGCGACAAAGTGACTGGAGATTGTTTGACTTGTGAAAGTGGATATTACAGAGTTGGCACACATTGTTATATATGTGACTCTCAAAACGGAAACAATTGTTCAATTAATGGCTGTTCAAGTGTTGATGAGAACGTCTGTTTTGGATGTGCACCACACTTCTTTTTGTCTTCTCAAAGGTGTGTTGTATGTGAACTTAGTCCAAATTTATGTGCTCCACAAATGTGCACAGAAACTGGACTTTGCACCGACTGTCCCGAAGGTCGATATTTATTTAACGGTGTTTGTCTCTCATGTAATGATTCAAACATCTTACATTGTAATAACAACTCGTGTCAAACAAAGGGAAATATCTGTCTACAGTGCCAAATGGGGTATTACCTGTTCAATGGATACTGCAAAAATTGCACCTCAACAAACCCCAATTTTTGTGATGAAGGGCAGTGTGATCCAGAACATGAGGGAAAGTGCTTGAGTTGCAAAGACAATTACTTGATGACAAAAACAAACGAGTGTCGACAAGTTCAAGACATTATTTTACATTGCGAAAAGGCTGTTTCATGGCAAGAATGTATTTTATGTGAGAGGGGGTATGTACTTAACGCAGGAAGTTGTGTAGAGAAAAGGTGTGATGAACAAAACGCTGTTAGTTTAGATACGGTTTGTGCAAATTTGTGCTTTAATTGTGTGTCTGCAAAAGCAGACTGCAGTGTTACTCACTCCCTTGCAAACTGCGCCAAACAATTTGTGACAAACGACTTGTCCAAATGCCTTTTATGTGAATTGAATAATTCCATTACCGGCATATTCAATTGCTCTGAAACTATTATCAGCGGGTGTCTTACAAATTATCAAGATACGTGCTACCAAACACTTAATGGGTATTACTTAACACCATATAATGAGGCATCGAGGTGCGGAAATGACGCAACCGTATGTTTGTTCGACTACTCAACGTCTTTAGAAGAAAAATATGAGTGTAGGGAGAACTTTTACTTGTCATATAACAACACGTGTACACAAAAAGACGTGGCAACTAAATGTTTGAAATATGAGAGTGGACTATTTGGAAATAAAAGATGTGAAACGTGCAGTCCAACAACTTTTATTCATAAGTCTGAGTGTGTTTCATGTCTACCATTTTGTGAAGTGTGTGATGTCAATAGCTGTTTCAAGTGTCTTAAAAATTATGTTTTAATCAATAAGAAGTGCTACACAAAAGAACAAACACATTGCACGTATATTGATGATACTACAAACAAGTGTATATTGTGTAATACTGGGTACTATCTGAATGACGACAGTGTGTGTGAGATCAACGACAACTTTTGTCTTTTACAATGGAGTCTTGGGTGTATACGTTGTATCACAAATATGACTGAGCCTTATATGTGTGTAGTCTACTCACATACCAAACAACGTGTTGCAAAAGATTCATACATCATGAAATATAACTCAAGTTCTGTCGACTACAGAGACTCGTGTCTTCATCTAAGTAGTGTTGGGTGTTTGAGGTGTCGAGATGGGTATTATCCAAATGGTGTTTTGTGTGTCACTTGTCCTGAGAGTTGTACAAAGTGTTCGACAGCAAATTTGTGTACTGTTTGTGTCGAAGGTTTTTACATCTCAAACGGACTTTGTGTGACCAGTGAAGTGCTTAAAAGAAGTTGTAAGACGCCTTTTTTAAATGGCATTGGATGTCGTGAGTGCAAAGAGACGTTTTATAGAAATGGGACATCGTGTTATTCGTGTGATGAAACATGTCAGACTTGCACTGATGCTTTTACGTGCACCATTTGCGTCGACCATTTCTTCAAAACTGAACACGTCGGCGTCTGTAGAAGCTATAATGTCTTAACACATTGTCTCAACAAAACAGTCAATGGTTGCACACAATGTGAAATTGGCTATTTCATGTATAATGGAGAGTGTTACAAGTGTCACCAACTTTGTCGGACGTGCACTTCTTCCTCCTTGGTTGAGAACAGTGACCATATTGTGACTACCACTTCTTCTGAACATACTACCATCATCATCAATAATAAGACATTCTTTCTTTTAAATAAGTGCACTTCCTGTCACGTCGATTATGTGAAGACTACAAACACCCCAGAGTTTGTCTGTGTTTCATATTCATCTATTAAAAATTGTGCTTCTGCATCTTCTTCTGTATGTAAGAAGTGTTCTGGGTACTATCAACTGACCGACGACAAGTTGAGTTGCCAGCGCCGGTCATTACTTGCTGTAGTCTTTCCCATTGTTCTTGTAACTCTCTTGATTGTGTTACTCCTTATATCAATACTCCTTATTGTTTTGATAACAAAACACTTTGACAGAAGAGAAACGCTGACTTGTCGTACAAAATTTGTAAGAAAAATTAAAGACACGCGACCTCAATTAGACTTTCCATTGAAATGCGTTTGTTCGACGAAATCAAGTTTGACCTTTTCCAATTTGATTCCAGTCGGTGTCGAAAGTGAAGACGTCGTCACAATTGGTAATGTCAGTCACCACACACTTAAACTACAATTTGTCGTCAAAGACGACGAGCATAATGAGAAGTATCACTTCCGAGTGGATCCGCCTTTTGTGACCCTTCGCAAAGGATATTGTTGTGAATTTCATATCTACTTGAAGCCGATGTGTACTTGTCGAGTCGTAGAAGATATCGTCTTCTTGTGTCTTAACTTATCAAAAGGTATCCAAACTAAAGAGTCTCTTACCCTTGACTTCGAGACTGAACTCTCTTCCAAACTCGATCCCGATGATCTCTTTATAAAGCGAGAAATTGGTCGAGGGGGTGCTGGAGTTATTTATTATGGGATGTACCGGAAGTCTCGTGTAGCAGTGAAAAAGGTACGAAATGTGTTTGATGTTAATTCCACCTCTGAATTTATGTGTGAAATTGCTATGTTAGAAAAGATGCGGAATGACTATATTATACACTTCTATGGGGCTGTGATCATACCAAACAAGTTGTGTTTAGTCACTGAATACGCCGCATATGGAAGTCTTGGTACAATACGTCGAGAGACCACTAAAGAGAAAAATGGCACCTTTGCAATTAAAGTGATGTTAGATGCAGTAAAAGGATTGGACTATTTACACACCAATTCGATCATCCACAGAGACTTTAAGCCAGACAACATTCTCATAGTATCTCTGGAAATCTTTGATAAGGTAAATGCAAAACTCTCAGACTTCGGGACAGCTAGAAACCTCAATTGTCTTGTTGATAATTTGACATTCACTAAAGGCATTGGAACACCCGTGTACATGGCACCAGAGATATTAAGAAGAGAAGACTATAACTCCGCTGCCGATATTTATGCAGTTGCCATTTCATTATTTGAAGTCTTCTGCTGGGAAGATCCATTCCCTAAAAATGCTTTTGCCTTCCCGTGGAGCATTGCACGGGCAATAACAAGTGGAATTAGGCCTCAATACACAGACAACATCAATGAGAATCAAAAGAGTCTAACTGATTGGTGCTGGACGGATATCCCAAGTCAACGGCCACGTGCCGAACAAGTCTGTGAGAGGCTTGAAACGATGTTACAATTGTTATAATGTTTATAATTTACTTATTTTAATGATGAGCAATGAATTTGTCTTATTTAAATTTTTTGATTCTGTTAAAACAAAAGAAGTCAAGAACAAACAAAAGTTTAAAATAGATTCTGGTTATACCGGAATCTATTTAAACCATTACTGTAAATTATATAAAAAATCAATAAATGATTACCGATATAAATTTGAAGTAAACCAAAGGTGTTTTGACTCTTAATTGGTTAAATAAACGAAGGAGAGAAACATATGAAGTTAAAAGCAGACAAAAGAGCTCTTTTCAATATCTCTTCGGTTGAAAATTTCCTCAAAATGCTTCGAATCAAAGTGAAGAGTCTAGAATAGATAATACAACACGGATGGGACTTGATGGGTACTCTATGATGATTGTTTCGAAATACTTTACGTCGATCGACCAGTTCATTGCAGTTGAGATGGTATGTAAGAAGTACAGAAACTTGATGGCTAAGTTTCATTATAATCCAATACCATTGAATAAAAAGACGATGTCGTATTTTACTAATTTAGAGACACTGCACATCTATTATATAACTGATGACCATTTCGACGACATCTCCTTCTTTGAACGAATTATTTGGTATTCAATAAGTTATTCGCATGTCATTCAAACACTTGATGTCACACAAAGCAGTGCAAAGTGCAGATTCGATAAACATTCCAACGAACAAAAAGTCACTTACAAACGCATTTCATTGCACCAAGACGTCACAAACAGTTTAAAAAGTGTCTCACAGCCACACTCACTCTTCTTTCCTCACAACACATATAGTCTTGGGTATCATCTCTTCACTAAACAAACTTCATTGCAGTCAGTGTCATTACCAGACACCATCGTCACTATCGGGGAGTTATGTTTTTCTGGCTGTGCCAACCTTTCTTCGATCACTCTACCCCAATTTCTGACCTTTTTAGACTCTGGCGTGTTCTGGGGGTGTTCATCTCTGCTCTCCATTGCACTGCCATCGACTTTGAATATCATAGAAAATGGCGTGTTCTGTGGCTGCAAGTCACTGACATCAGTGTCGATCCCCAAGACTGTCAATTACATCGGCGACTGGGCGTTCTTCTGTTGTTCGTCCCTTGAATACATCGACATCCCAGACAATGTCTGGTGTATAGGAGATCACGCATTCACCGACTGCTACTCGTTGAAGTCAATCAAAATCCCAGAACAAGTCAACGCGACGGGGTTCTGGTGCTTCTCCAATTGCACGTCGCTCTCTAAAGTCCTCTTCCATCGGAACGTGTTCGCGCTGAAGTCGGAGTGCTTCTCCGCCTGTAGTAACTTGAAGGTGGTCGAATTGCCAGAGACAGTCAGTCAGATAGGAAATCGATGCTTCGCGCTCTGCACGTCGTTGACTACTATTGAAATCGCGAGAGGGGTCGTCGAGTTGGAGTTCAAGTGTTTCTTCATGTGTGGCTCTCTAGTCAAAGTCAGAATCCCAAAGACAGTCTCAAAAATAGGAAAATTGTGCTTTGCGGGGTGTAAGAAACTCAAGAAAGTCAAAATCCCGTTGAAAATTAAGAAATTGAAGTACGGCTGTTTTTATGGGTGCACCGATCTCAAAAAAATCGAAACACCCCACCGACTTACTTCACTCGGAAAAAAATGTTTCTTTGGATGTAAAAATTTGGAAGAAATTGTGGGACTGAAAAACGTGGAAAATGTGGGGGAATTCTGTTTCGTTGGTTGTGAAAAATTAAATTGGAAAGATTGTAGAAAGTGCCAAAGTGAGTGAAATAACGTTTGAATATCGTTTGAATCACTAACATTTGATTTTTTTTTATAATTTTATTATTATCAAATATTTTAATAAATATTTAATGTAATTGAAAGGTAAAATAAGTAAGATCTGTTTCTAATTTCAATGTTTGTAATTAATAATTTATAATAATTTATTATAATAAAATTAATTAATTTATTTATTTAACTTAAAAATACTTAAAAAAAATATAACATAAATAAACTATATAATAGTAAAAAAAGGTTTGTTATTAAAATTATAAAAAATAGAAAAGAAGAAAACCGAAATTGGTTTTTTAAACTGTAAACTAAATTTATAGTATTTTATTACTTGAAATAATAGTAATATTTTAAGAAAAAACACTTATAATAAAAATATAATAAAAGAATTATTAAAACAGTTTATCACAAAAAAAGAAAAAATAAAATGAACATGTTATTTTATTTTGAGAACAAACCAAAACACGAAATTTTTCTTTCTCACATTTTGATAATTTTCATTATACAAAAATAGTATTAAAACATGATAAATTCCGATTTACAAAAAACAAAAAAAAATAACTTTCAACATTGAAATATCCCGGAATAATACTATTCATTATAGCAAAATTTGTTATTTTTTAATTATATAATTAACTTACAAAGAAATATACAAAGAAATCGTAATAATACTATTAATTATAGATTGTTAATAGATAAATTTAGTAATGAACTCTAAAAACCGGGTTCTAGTTGTCCTATTAAAATCCGAACTAAAATATCAAAAATCATATTTTACTAATTGAATGAAGGCGTTACTGTACTTATTATTAGCATTCGTTCTTTTTGCGCACGCCGAGGAGAACTTTGAAGATGAGTATGACCTCGAAGACGATGAACTTGACTTTGATGTTGAGGAAGACGACGAGGACGACCTTATTGAAGACGACGACGAAGAAGACGAACTTGAGTTAGAAGACGATGATGATGATATGGAGGATGACGAAGAAGATGAAGATAATGAAGACGACGATATGGAAGATTTCACTGATGATGAAGAGGATAGAAGACATCACCATCACAGAAGAGCTGGACCATCAAGAAAAAGAAGACATCATAGACGTCATCATCACCATCACAGGAGATTTAGACCATTTGGGAGAAAGCACAGACATCATAGAAGACACCACAAACATAATAGACGTCACACCTATTGGGCTCTCTCAAAGCTCCGCAGACTTCTGAGAAGAATTAAAGGACGTAAGACCGTCTCTAAGAAGTACAAGGCAAAGATCAGAAAGTACAAGAAGGCGATCAAGAAGCACAACAAGAAAGTTGCACTCCGCCGCAAGTTGAAGGCAGCTGGGAAACCGATGCCCGCGAAACCCGTTGTACATCGAAGACGACACAACTCGATGAAGAAGTACATCAAAAAGTCCCGCAGAATCTACAAAAGAGCAAGAAAAT